CTTGCAGTCTTACCAACTAGTAGTCCAACTAGGAACACAGCCAGATAAACTAATTATATATTATATCAAGCTAAATTAACAAAACCTTGCATGTCTGAAACAGAAACTGAAATAGAACTGCCCCACCATCACCATCACCTATTTAGCCCAAACTTATTGTCCAGCTCATTTTGCACCTGTAGGCTATAATGTCTCTTATATGACCATTCCCAGGTAGCATTTCTTTGCCCAATATCCCATATTCATTCATAAATACCATTACACTGCCCTTAGGAAATAGAAAATAGAACAGTTTATTTATTGGTTAGTCTTATGACCATATCAAAAGAAAAATAAAGAAAAATAAAATTGATTCCAGGATAAACTATATAGAAAGTAATACAGTGATAAATTGAACAACAAATGAGCAATATTTTCAATGGCTGGGGTAGCACATAAGCAAGCCAGAGGGACATGATAGGACAAGCTAGATTTGGTCATGGAATCCAATAACTCAAATCTTTCTCTAGAGTAGACCTTTCTTAATTGTGACAGATTCATTGATAGGCATTTTCCAGATTGCAAAATATTTTGTTTCTTAGACACCAACTTAAAAAATTGTTTTGAACCTATAACTCTATCCAAGTTTGTGCATTGATGTCTAAAACTCCCTGTTTTAAAAATTCCCTTGTCTGAGAATGAGGCCACTGAGAATGAGTAGAAAACACATGCTGTGTAATAACTTTGGCAAGTTGGGCTGAACCATACTTACCTGTTCTTGTTAAGCATCTTTTAGGAAATCTTTCATAAAACAGATCTTCTGCTAATATGTGAAAACTTCAATTATTAAATAACGAACTAGACTACTGGTCTTTTAAGCTTTATATGCTTGAAGTACAGTATTATGGAGAAGTTGGGAATTTTCCAGAAATATCGGATTTAAATTCCCATATTCTCTCTAGCAGAGTACGCAAGATCTTAAGAAGGTCTATTACAAATGCAATGTTACACTATGACAGAGATTTCTTGCAGGACCTCCTAGACTAGATGTTTAATCCTGTTTTCCAGAATACCAATCTGATTTAATGTAAAATTAAAAAAATCTTACTATTTCCTAAGGCCCAATTTTAGAAAAAAATCATTCCATAGTAATGTTTAATTTGCAACACTTAAAAATAGAATTATTATTATAATTGTATTTATGTCACTATACTAATGTTAACACGTTATGAGTTTTATTTCTCAATGAATCTTAAATGACACAATATCATATAATAGAAGCCAGGTATTTATAAACAAAATATAAGTAGCGTCAAGATCTTCATATTACAAATGGTAAAGATGACAAAGAAAACAACCTTTATGCCATCTAATAATGATGAAACTCAATCTCATGTTCCAAGGGTCCTGGCCAAAGATAAATTTAGATACCCTCATTCTGACAATTGACTCCTGACACTGATCTAGGGATGTTAAGCAACAATTTCTGAGCAATATTGAAAGAAAACATTTAAGTACTATTTCAATGTTCCACAGTGCCCTAGTATGAAGTAATTCCAGAAAAGTAAAATGACAGCAAGAAATCCTATTTAAGTTCTCTTATTTCTTAAAATAGGGACTTCACAATACCCGCATGATTTCTGGTTCAAAGGCTAGCAGGGAGAGATTTGACAATATAGATATAACAGAAAACCAGGTGGGAAAGGATGGATAGGTAGGAAGGAGGGAGGGAGGGAGGGAGGGAGAGACATGCAGCAACAAGTTCAAATTTAACTCTTTTTTCCTCTACCTGTCTATCCTATCAAAAGACAAGGAGTTAATGCATCATTAATGTAACTAGCCTGTCTGCACTCAGATTCTTGATAGTCCTTCCAACCCTCATACCAAGATTACATGGTAACATCTGCCGTAACCTAATCAATTCCTAGCTAGAATAAAATTTGAAGTAGACAGTTTACAACAAACACTTTTACAGTTCAGTTTTTGCAGCTTTTTTAATTCAACAGGACATCTTCTTAAGGCAAATGTAGGCAAAGCTGAAGCATTAATAAAATTGCATGTTTATATATAATATATCTCCATTATAAATTGTTCTGATAAATGAATCTTGCAACAAATTAGCTTTTGTTATTGTTGTCTAATCATAGCCAAAATCCTAATTTGCTTCACTTTCTATTTTTCTGGCTGTTGAAAACTCAATAAATGAGTCTTGGAAAGAGGTTTTTGGCTCAGCTTACAGATGCTGTAAGAAACTTAAAAATAAGAATTTATAACCAGCATTGATTTTCCCATGAAAATAACTTCAAACCTCTCATGATATATACCGTATTTGCCGGCGTATAAGATGACTTTTTTGCCCTGAAAAACATGCCTCCAAGTGGGGGGGTCGTCTTATACGCCGGGAGGACTCCGACTCCCACTTCGAGCTTGAGTTGCAGCCGGGAGGGAGGCTGGGGGGGAGCGGTGTGTGTGTGTGTGTGTGTGTGGCGGGTGTCACTCGCCACACGCTGCACAACCTTTCCCCCTCTTCCTTCCTTAGCGGTGTGGGGAGGAGAGGATTCGAAGATCCTCACGTGCGGCGTACTTTTCTTTTTCTTTTTTTCTTTTTGCACGCAGGTTTTGCATGCAGGCGGCTGTAGGTTAAGGATGGGGGAGCCCCCGGGTGGGTTATCAGGTTTTACGGTGCTTCCAACATGTGCGAACGGTGGGAGAGCGGAGAAGAGAGCGAGCGAGTGCCCCGCTGTGTGAAATCCTGCCGTCAAAGCAACACTGGGGGAGGCAGGGTATAAATTTACCAGGTTAATGTAGCAATGGTGATTAATGCCCAGAACATGGTTTGCGGGTATTGGGGTGTGTGTGTGGTGGTGGTGAGGAGAGGTTGTCCTTTGAATGCGGAAAAGTAGGTGTGACCTTGTGTAGGAAAATAAAGAGATCCTTTTTAGCGTGTTTGGCTTCTTTGCCTCCCCTCGTTCGTTTTGACGTGGAGATAATGGCCTTCGGGCGGGAGGGGAAGAAAACGGTAGCTGGATCATTTCAAATTTCACTTACTCTCCTGCCTCACTTCAATATGTCTGAGCGACTCCAGATACTGGAAGACTTTTTGAATGAAAGTGTTACCTCCATTTTTTTTTTTTAAAGAGGGCCACTTTGGGAAAATAAAAGATTCTAAGGAATTCCTTGTTTCTTGATTAAAGAGAAGGCATTGAATATACTGTTCCTTGGCAGCCTTTTCAGTGTCCGGGTTTTTGGTGTGTGTGTGTGTGTGAGTGTGAGAGAGAGAGAGAGATCAGCTGTATTGAGAAGAGAACGTTTCCTGTGTTCTCATTTTATTTACAACATATTTTACGCTTAATGGTAAGCAATGAAAAATATTTTTAAAACTCATTTCTAAACTCCATAGCTATTTGCATATTCTTGGTTCAAAATTGGATTAGCTCATTTCAAAATTGTCCAAAGCAGAAAAGTGCGTCAAAAAAAAAAAAGTGCAAAAGTGGAAGATGTGTGGAAGAGGGGGTAGTCTTATACGGCGAGTATATAACAAACTCTATATTTTGAGTGGAAATGTTGGGGGGTCGTCTTATACGCCCAGTCGTCTTATACGCCGGCAAATACGGTATATATATCTAAGGGTACCATGTCATATAGTGCTTCTTCGAATCCCACAGATCCATAACTGAAGAAAGGGGAAACTATTTTAAAAACTGTTAATGAAACCAGCCAACTTTCTTGGTAACTTTCTGAAACAAATATCCCCAAAATTATAATGGCAACAGATGAACCAAAGTTTATTACAAACTTAATTAGCAAATATTTCTAAGATTCTCTTTCCCACATAAGTGCATCTACCTTATTGGTGAGTGGGAACTGACACTTAAAATTCAGAATTTGCTTCATCAGTTAACTAGTGCTGTTGGCGAAAAAGGGAAGATTTATTTATTTTCACCTGAAGTCATAAAGCTGTTAGTTGTAGTGATTTATAATATAGGTGGGCTTATGTGACTAAAGGTTACCTATTCTATACTAAAACATTGCTCAGTAGAGAAAGCTTCTTGATAGCAAATAAAAGTCCATTTTTTTCTCTGACATTCTCATTTTCAAATACAGATTTATTATTATGGTTGATTGCAGTCATCCAGATGTTTAGACTGGCATATTCACAGACTTTCTATTTTTTGTTGCAAGACTCTGTATTTTGTGATTTTCTCCAATTTTTTCTCTTCTATTCTGCTGCCTCTAAGTATTGCAATCTCCACTATACAGACTTCTTTTTGGTCTTTCTTATCAACAATTCTTAAATTTAGGATATTATATGACAATTCTAAAGTTCCAAAGCACTTTAGCGTCTTCATTCTTTATTGCGTTGCCTATTATTATCTGTTCACAACATTGTGAAGACACCGATACCAGTTTTTCAGCTGGTATTGGCCTTCATAAGCATCAAAATTTTCCCAAGAATTATCAGTATATTTACAGATCCAAGAAGTGTGGTGTTTTACAATTGACTGATGGAACTCTACAAAGGTGTGATAAATAGTGAATAGTCATCAGTTTTCTTGGTTTTTTTGTTTTCACTGTTGAGTTTAGCTTGTGTTCAATTAAAAATTCCATGGGTATATTTCACAGGTATTGCCAATGTCTTTGATGGCATTTCCTCTGTTCAATTTTGCCTTTAGCAATTTTCTCACTTTTCGGATATATTCTTTACTTATTAAATTTTAACTTTTCCATGCTTAATATTGTCTAAAGTGTAAAATGCCCAAATATCATGCTTCATCCTGTTAGTTCCTGATGGATTTGTGCATCAATTCCATTATTGCGTTTGATTTACTATGATTTTATTTTATTTCTTTGCTACTGTAGCACATTTTTCTAGGACAAATTCTGTTGCTATATCTGTGCTAAAATTCTTTCAGTATTTGTCAATGACCTTGATTTCTGATTTCCCATGCTTTGAAAAGTTGCTAAAACACTCTCCATGAATCCAGACAGCAAAAACAAAAAATGCATACATTAATTCTTACCTTTATTCCACAAATGATAAAAATGGTCTTCATTCAAAGGCTGATTAAGAATCAGAAGGCAAAACTTTAGGTTTCCTGAAAGACAGGTAATATTGACAAATTGTTTTCAGGATTTACAATTCTACAATTTGCTTCCTCTCATCTTACAGCTAAAATAACAGAAATATCACATTACTATATTATTTCTGGAGAAATGGGCAAACTTTACATCAAATTGCATAACGATTAGAAAGCAAACAGTCTTTTGAATATGTTTTACAAAGAATATGTTTAAAAACTCTGATAAGGACATATGGCACTTGTATTAATGTAGTACATGAAATCAATTAATATACCATATTTCCCTGAAAATAAGACCCAGTCTTATATTCTTTTAAGCCCCCAAATAAGCATTCAGGCTTATTTTCGGGGAGGTTTTATTTTTTTACATGTACAAGAGGCAGCAAGCCCACCGCCCCATCCCAATACCTACTTGCCTGTGACTGCAATGACCACAGTTCTCTGCCCGCCCTGGCCTCCACCTGCCCTGCTTGCTGACCCTTCTGCTGGCTGACTGCCAAACAGCTGACTATGCTGCTCTGGACTCGCAGGGTCTCTTCCCCAATCCTGGCAGCGCTGCTTTCAGTCATCCTGCTAGACTGCTCCAGCCTGGTGCAGGGCAAGTTGTCCCAGATCTATGACCTCTGGAGTGCCCCCTGCTGCCAATGGAGCTGCGCCACCGTGAACAGCCAGCATGAGATCTAGTGCCTACCAGGGCCAGGACCTGAAGAGCGCCATGCTCAGCTCATAGCCTGGAGCACCAAAGTAGACCTGCAGGAAGGTGCTCAGCAGCCCAAAGGTGACAGCGGGTAAAGCCCCACCAGTAGCTGCTGGTAAAGGGCCCTGGCAGGCCAACAGAAGTGGAGGAAACTTTGGAGATCGTAAATCTTGGCTGACTCATCCCATACCAAGTAGGAGCAGCCCAGCAGGGTGGCCGAGAGCAGCAGGGCCAGCAGGGCAAAGAGCTCCTACGAAGCCAGCAGCAGCACCGGCAGTCACTCGTGGCAGTAGCTGCAAGCAAGTGGCAAGTGCATCAAAAGCAAAAATTAGGACTCCCAAAATGTATTTACAGCAGCTGCTGGACATGGAGTGGGCGGCCCTGTGCCTCTGTCTGCTGCCTGCTGCCAGTGCATGCTTTGGAAGGAAAATAAAATTAAATCCTGAAATCTCTCCATCTTTGTGCAAATCCGAACAAAGGCAATAGCAGTTGTGCCTTTTCCCTTCCAAAATATGCCAGTGACCTGAATAAAGCCTGGCTTGACCTACTCTTGAAACACCTCCTGGCTCTTCTCCAAGGGGAGGATGGCTCTTCTCTGCATTTCGCCACCTTCTGCAGTGCAAGAGGAAGCAGGCAAGTTTTGCTTTTTTTTTTTTTTTTTTGAGGTGTTAGCCGCTTGTTTGCAGCAACTTGGACCACTGTGGGTGGCACTGGCAGCAGGCAGAGACTTGCTTCTCCCCCCACTCTTTTATCCTCTCCTTCAGCCCAGTCTAGCCCTCCACCCAGCAGCTAAGGATGACTCTCTACGAGGCCTCTCAGGAGACACAGTGTGCAAACAAAACGAAGTGCCATGAGTCCTGGCATCCTTTCCATTTGTTCCCCATTCCTCTCTCGCCCCTTCTCCCTCTCTGGGAACTGTGTTGGGGGAGAGGAAAGCCATCAAGGGGATGCTGGCAAGACACTCCCGGGGAAAGGATGAAGCAGCTCAGCTGCCAGAGCCCAAAATTTTAAGGCAGAAAAGCAAACGAGGGGGGATTTCAAAGGCTCTGGAGATAAAGAGCAAAGCTCTTCTGCTTGGCCTGCAAGTGAGTGCTGAGGCCAACCCTGCGGGATGCGATCTGCTGCTCCATGCAAAACCTTGCAGTGGAAGGAAAGAAGGGAAAGAAAGTGAGAAATCTGTGTGTGTTTTTGTGTGTGAGAGACAGAGAGAGCATACCACTGCCAGCCATGGTATACAGTAACTCTCTGAGGTTGGATCAAATTTCTCTCTCTCTCTCTCTCTCTCTCTCTCTCTCTCTCTCTCTCTCTCTCTCTCTCACACACACACACACACACACACACACAGTTTACTCTCTGCTTCCGTCAGTGCTGGTGCCATCCCAGTACGTATTTTAAGGAAGAGGTATGTATTGTAAGGAATAAATTCTGCAGTCTCTCACTGCTGCCCTGCAAACCCCAGCATAAACAACTGCAGCTGTGCCTTCTCCCTTCCAAAACACGCCAGGATATAATCTGAATAAAACTGGCAGCAGTGAAATAGTTCCCGAAGGCGGGGGGCAACAAACAAGAAGGCACTCACAGCACTTTCAGGCGCTGCTGGTGACTTTAGTAGCGGCTTTTGCACTTTATTTTTTGTATGTTATGTCTCTCGAGAGATCTCGTGGAGAGGCGGGAAAGCCCCTCGTCCTTAGCTGCTGCTTAGGTGAAGCTTTCCTGACCCTCTCCCGAGTTGCCATAGGCAGGGAGATGGGAAATCGAGCCTCGCAGCTGCATCAAGGAATTTACTCCTCAGTCATAACACAACACAGTCTGGCTAAGCAAGCCAAAGCCATCTCCAATGGATACCAGCAATGCCTGGAGGGAGTAACTTCTACAACCCACGAAATTTCCTCATTGGGGAATATGATAGGTGACACACTTTGGGGGGAGGGGGAAACAGAGTTAGAGGCAAGGCATGATGGGGATGTCTTTACTGTAATGCTGACATGGTCCTCCTAATAAAAGATTGGATTTTTATTGCCAGGTGGCTTGAGCCTCTTAACTGTGTTAGGGCATTGTCCGGAATCCAGACACATGGTTTCTCTCCCCTCCCATTTCTCCTCTGCTTCAGCCCAGCCTAGGTCTCTTCCTCCCACCACCACCCCATCCCCACTGAGGGTGGCCAGTTTCAAAGGGGATGGGAGGGTTGGGACAAATCTACAAGGAACAGACCCTTCCTTCCACACTGGCTTTCTGCAAGCAAAGCCGAGGAGCAGCCAACAAAAAGGCAGTCCTCGAGCGACCACTCTTCCTTTCCCTCCTTCCTTCCTTCCTTCTGAGGTGAGGAATGAAAACCCTCATCGTTTCCAGCCACCGTCCTACCACCTGTCTTTGCTTGCAAAGTATGCAGCAGAGTTGGAGCACCAGATTGGACAACAGGGGCTGAGCGTGCAGGGGCCACAGCATGGTGTCACCCCCACCCCACCACCTGCCTTCCCTTGCCTCACAGTGGTGGCATCAACAACAGGTGGAGGCAGAGATGCGGGTGTTGGTGGGGAAGGCACACAAACTGGCCCACCGGAGGTGCCACATGTTTGCTCAGTAGAGATTTAGGGACTAGCCAGGTGGGCGGCGCCCATGCAGTGGCTGAGCTTCAGGGTGCCACCCTGAGCAGTGCCGAGCTGGAAGCAGGGGAGGGTCAGTCCCCTTACCCAGTTGCCTCTCACCATTTCTTATCAAATGTCTGTCTGTCTCTGTGTGTGTATGTGTGTCAGAGAAGAAACCCTTGCAAACAACATTGCCTGCAATTCAGCTGGCTCAGCTGATCCGCGGGCCGCAGTTAAGGGGCCGAGCAGCCATGATGTGATTGGGAAAAGGCTGCCTCCTATGCGGACCACGCCCACCCCCATTACTAGGGCTTATTTTTGGGGTAGGGTGTATATTAGGTCCACCCCAAGAAAATCAGGGGAGGCCTTACTTTTGGGATAGGGCATATTTTGAGGGAAACATGGTAATTAGAAAGTATATTAGCCATAGATTTACAGGTTTCACAGTTAGTGAAATGAAGTATTAGACTGAATCTTATAGAGAAGACTAATCACACTTCTCAGACCAGTTCCTTTCACGATGTGCTTAACAATAGATATAGTATTCATCAGAGTCATTGGCTGGTATAAAATAACAATGTGATAGAATCCTATATTCACCACAGATACAGACAGTATTAGCATACTGCAATATCTATGCTACTATGCATAGCAACTCTGAGGTTCTTTTATTTACATGTTTACAATGTTCTAAAACATTACAGAAAATTAAAATAGTAGTGCATTGCACCACAGCAAGCAAGATATGCATCGCAACAATCTTCTGCACAAGATGTATGGCATGTCTAAACCAGTTTTAGTGTAAACCCAGCTGATTGCTAGCCCCCTCCCAAAGATTCATGAACTCATGTGATAATGCTTGGGGGATCCAGTGGGAAAATTCTTGTGGGGATGCAAGGGGCAGAAAGCATAGCATGAGGTGTCTCAGGGTAGGGAGAGGACGGGATAGGCGGGCTAGTCTGTACTAGGGCTCCAAGAGCCTTCTCACCAAAATGTTGCACGTAATGACCACCATATTCTCATATCTCAAAAATCACCTCTCTATTTAAGCATACTTTCTAAAAATACTTTGAAACTAACGGCATTATTATCATCGTTATCATCTGGGTGAGAATCTAGTAGATCAAGAATCATATTCTCATGATCTCATTTAATTTTATCTTAAGAATCCTGCAAGGTATGTTTGGCTGACAAAATAACAGATTGAAAGAGATTAATGCAGTGAATATCTATGCCTGAAGTTGTGTTTAACTTGAACGTCTCCAATTTGAGTCCAATAACTGAACCATTATACTACATAGGCTGGACTCTATTATTAAGTTTACAGAGTCAACTAGTGGTTAAAGTGCAAGTACTAACTTGGTGAATTATTTGTTTTTACACTTTCAAATATGATTTTGATTTTTTATAAATCATAGTGTGTTTGAAATTTTGCCATATGTTTCTACTCTGACTTTAATTTAATATTGAAGTTAAAATTCTAGTTCAAAAGCATTTGAAAAGCTATTCAGTTTCCTCTTCCCAAATGGTAAACATTTTAATCAATTCTCAAATTGTAGTATCAAGCATCCACTATGGGATTGGTAGAAATTTACCAATGGGGCATGGGCTAAAATATAGTTGCTGATTTCAGACTTTAAGTATACTAAAATTTAATGTATGGATTTTCCACCTACTTCTTCCCCTTTGTATTTGAAATTCTTCCTTCTTTTTTCTTGACATTTACATTTTTA